ATTCTTTTTTTTTTTTTTCTTTTCTTTTTCTTTCCCTTTCTCTTTACCCTTCCCCCTTAGAACCCATCAAACCCAGCAGGCGCCTCTGGGTTCGTTGGAACCCAGGTGCAGGGTTCCTTGGAACCCAGGTGCTGGGTTCCCAAACGAACCCAGGTGCTGGGTTCCCAAACGAACCCAGGTGCAGGGTTCGTTCGAACCCAGTGCTAGGTTCAAAAAAATTTTCTGTTTTTTTTTTTTTTTCATGGGTTTTGTTGTTTGATGATGAAAAAGAATTGATTGATGAAGAATGGAATTTCATTTCATTGAATTAATTGTTTGACTCAGAAAAATTGTGATAAAAGTTGTCTCAGAGGAGGCTAAGAGAGGGAAAAAGAAGGATGAATGAAGAAAATTCGAGAAAGAGGACGCTGGAGGAAGAAGATGAGGGTAAAATTGTAATTTGGGCAGGTTACATGGCATGAATATAACCTGTTATGTTGCCATGTCATCATTTTGATCTTATGTGTCTAAAATTTTTGCCATGTCATTAACTCACTGTGAGTTAATGGTGGATATTTAACGGAAGGACCAAATCGGGGTCAAAATGGTAAACAGTAAGGACCAAATCAGGGATTTCTTTAGTTCAGGGACCAAATCGAGGGTCTGTACAATAGTTCAGGGACCAAAATGGGGTTTTAACCAATAATTAAAGCAAGTAGAATTTCCCATAACAATCATAGGAAAAAAAATACAAGGCAACAAAAGAACTCAGGTAAATAAGGACAACTTTCATGCAACAACATAGTTTGTAAACTGGGAAGAAAGAACCTGAATCAGAATACACTTAGCATCAATTGCACTGCAATGTTATAAGCATGTAGGTGATGCAGGTGTAAGATGCTAGACTTATTTCTATAGTCTGACATCCCAACAATCTGAGCAAAATATGCAGAGAAAATTAATGGATTCCTGGAAATAATAGGTCTTACTTTAACTCAAGCAGACACCTTCTGATAGAATGAGAAACCATATGATGGACTCAGTAATATATAAATAACAGAAGATCCACAATAAAACATGCATGTTGCAGTCAACAATAACAACAGAACAAAGCAAAAGCACTGTGTAAAAAGATGAGAGTTACTCAACATAATACAAATATCTTTCCAGCCAAAAAATAAAGGATA